GCTTGTTCCATGATTTCTAGTGGAGACCTTTTTCCTGGTTTTCACCTCTGCTCCACCAAAAGGTAGCACAGAGTCTTGATATCTCTTTGACTACAGAACCAAGTAGCTTGAAAAAAGCCATGGTAAACACAAGAATTGCATTTAGAACAACTTTGATAAGGATTTCTCTGCCAGAAGGAGATAGGAGCTTGTTTTTCCAACTGTTGAGCTTTGACTTTACAGCTTGAATCACATAAGAAAAGGCTTCCTTCTTGGATTTGCCAATTCCAAGAGGGAGGCCAAGATATCATGTTGATTGATGAATGCTGACTTCATGTAAGAGGGAGAAGACGTTAGCAGTTAGGTGACCAGGGGTGTTTCTGCTAAAAAAACCAAAGACTTTGCAAAATTCACTCTTTGACCTGTGTACAGTCTGAATTTCTCAAGAATTGTATGCAAATTTTGCACTTGGTCAATCCTTGCCTTGCAGAAAATGAGTACATCATATGCAAATAACAGATGTGAGAGAATAGGACCTTCCCTTGAAATTTTCAGGCCAGATAGCACTCTTCAATGGCATTCCTAATCATGAGAGGGGGTCACCTTGTCTAATACCCCTTGAGGTGTATATGGACTTAGTGACAGAACCATTAAGTTTGAAAGCCAGGGCAGTAGAGGAAATACACACAAGAATCAGATCGATAAAAGAAGGATGAAATCCCATCTGGAGCATGATGCCCTTTAAGCTGGCCCACTCAACTCTATCAAAAGCCTTCATGAGGTCCAATTTCAAAGCCATAAAGAAACAAGATCCTGATTTGTGTCTATTGAGGAAGTGGAAAACCTCATGAGCTATGAAACCATTATCCAACAGTTGTCTGTTTTTAAGGAAAGCAGATTGGCTGGAGCCAATGCAAGGGTCAAGGCAAGATTGTAGTCTCAGGGCAAGCACTTTAGAAATTATTTTGTAGACAACATTGCATAAGTTGGTGGGTCTGTATTGGGTTGTGCTCTCTGGGTTTTTGCATTTTGGAACTAGAGTGATGATGGTTTGTTCCAAGAAGTAGCCCAGAAGAAAAGAAGCTCTGAATAGCTTCAATCAAGTCTATTTTCAAGAAATCCCAGAAATATTGGTAGAATATAGGGCTCATACCTTTCTCCCCATATGCCTTCTTAGGGCAAGGCTGAAAAGGGCATTTTTTATTTCATCTTCTTCAACTAGGAGGAGTAGGTCTCTGTTCATATCTGGAGTGTCCCCTCCAAAGGAGCCTTCAGAGGTAAAGAGTGAATTATAGAAATCAGAGATGTTATTTTCAATAGCAGTTTGGGACAAGTAGGAGGAGTTGTTCCTATCCACAAGTCTGGTTATAGCGTTCAACTTTCTTCTTTGACTGACATAAGCATAGAAGAATTTTGAGTTTCCATCCCCATTCTTCAACCAATGTCCCCTAGCTTTTTGTTTCCAATGTTGTTCTTCATTTTTGTGCTCCAGATTGAGTTCACTTCTTGATTGGTTCCAGTCATCCCAATCTTTCTCTCTATCAGTTTTTCTCAAATCCTCAAGATGAGATGTCAGTATTTGGATGTCTGAAAGTCCCTGAGATTAAATTGAGAGCTCCATTGAACAAGAGCTATTCTTGTGCTTTTTACTTTCTCCTTAATTCTGAATAATGGGGTACCATCTTGGGGAAAAGACCAGGCTTTATGAACCACTTCTTTGAATCCATCCATTTTCAACCACCTGGTGTCAAAAGAAAATCTTTTTTTACCTGGTGGTTGGGTTGCCCAGTGTTCAGGAGGAGCATAGAATGGTCTGAGGCTTCTTGGATGATGTTTGTAACTGAGGCATTAGAAAAATGTTCTAGCCACTCATTGGATGCAAAGGCCCTGTCCAGTTTTTCTTGAACAAATCCTTCTGAATCTCTGTTGTTTGCCCATGTAAAAGGATATCCATGCATAGTTAATTCTTCCATCTCCATAGAGAATATGAAATCATTAAAACCTTATAGGCTGATTGAGCTTCTAGCTTTGCCACCTCTTTTATCCTCTTTAAAGCAGATATCGTTCCAATCTCCAATGATAAACCACTTGGTACCCCAGCTGCACTTGTCTGCTATCAGCTCAGACCATTGGTTAGTCCTTGTGTTTTTGTCAGTACTCAAGTAGATGAATATTCCCCAGTTTCGGCAACATGGGTCTGTGTTGAACTCCACTGCAATGTAGAACTCCTTACTTTGGATTTTCAGGATGTTGATTTAAGGTTTCCAGAGGAGCAGTAAACCCCCACTTTGTCCTCTAGGATCCACAGTAGGCAAGGTGTTCATGGTAGTGTTGTTATCTTGCCTCAATAGTCTTCTTATTTTGTTTGATGATCTCTTCCATGATTTTAGTTTTGGAATTTGCATCCCTGGGCTAGAAGTTTGGATTAATGGAGTTGGGGTAGCATTAGCTACCAGTTGCTGGGCTTTAGGAGAGGAGGATTCAGCTCTCTCAATCACCATAAGGGAAGGGTCAATCTGTTGGTGTTGAGGGTTAGTGATTTTGGTATTAATGGTAAGGTGAGAGGGGGTAGAAGAGTTGTTGGTGATAGGGGATTTGTGGGATGATTCAGCTTGTATAGGGATAATTTGGTTGTTCTCTTCAACATGGCTAGTGGAAGTCTGTAAGGGATTGTTTTGAGTTGAAGGGAAGGGAACATCATTTTCTTGGGGGCTTTTGGAACCTGTGGAATTCATACCTGACAAATTTAGAAATTCAGGGGCTCTCATCCAGTCGCCATATTATCCTTCCTTCATTGTTCTTGCCTTAATGTCTGCAATTCTTTTAGAACAACTTCTGTCAAGGTGGCCAATGTGGCCACAGTAGTGACAGAGGTTAACTAGCTTTTCGTATTTAAAGCACACACTGACTGCTTGGCTATCCAATCTGATATTAGCACAACGGGGAAGAGCTTCATTGACATCAATGGATGCTAATATTCTCATAATACATCCCCCATGACTACCTGCACCCACAACAACCACATTGTCAATGTGTTTGAAGATTCTCCTAATTTTAACTCCAACTTCAGTATTAAGCCAATTTAGTTGGACATTTAGTACCTGAACGCAGAGCTTGATTTCCGAGAAAACATGGTGAGATGGAGATATACCTTCTTGCCATTCTGATAAGACTAGGAATTGATTATAAAAAATCCAGTTTGTTCCTTTGGCAACTCGGAGCAAGTCCTCTCGTTTTTGGAATATGAATTGGAAATAGTTAGGTGCCAGCTCTTTGACCTCCATTGTCCCTTGCAGTCGCCATATACGGCTCATCGTGCGATTAATACCAATCCAGCTGGCTTGTCTGTCGCTGATAATTTTTCCGACAAACTTCAATTGCATTTGTCTGCACTTAGTTTGATATCATCCCGAGCTATGTCAAAGAAGTTATGTTCTCTATCGGAAAGGGAGAACCCTTGAAGTTTTTGGGATAATTCTTCATCATGCCCAATACAACTGTGAGTACCCATTTACTGGCAAAGAAACTCTAAAAGTGAGCGCAGAGAAAAAATGAAATTGGGGGAGAACGAGGAATAGTAGTGGCAATAAAAAACAAAACTAGAGAAGAGGGAGTGTTTAGGAGATTATCAGAGGAAGAAGAGAAAACTGTTCATCGCTCTCAACGAGAGAATCCCATGGCTCTCAACGAGTGAATAACTTTATCTAATTAAGATTTTAAGAAAAATATCTACACAACGTTAATTAGCTTCAAATTAACATATATTCAATATACATTAACATAACAATAGATTTATATCATGTGTATTATTAAAAGTAAACTTGAATATCATTATTCAAATTTATTTTTCCTTAGTTAAAAAATTGAAAAAAAAAATATTTCTATTAATATAATATATATTTTTTACTTAAGAAAATATATTTTAAAATCTATACTTATATAAAAAGGCATTATATTATTAGAATTAGTAGTAAGAAAAGTCAAAGGTAATTAATACATTCTATTTCCATCAAGTATTTTATTTAATTATTTTAGTTAATTGTTTTATCTCATAACATATTTTCAATACAACTTACCATGATTTTTTCAATTGTGATTAAAAACCAAATTTTACGTTTAAAATATTGTATAATTATTATTATTATTTTTATAAAGCACATATTATTTTGTTAAAAAATTGTATAATATATATAATACACATCACAATATCATGGTAAATGATTTAAATTTCAATCGACCAAAATGCCAATGATTTAAATTTGAACACATCTATGCGTTTGACCAAATGTCTGGATGATTTAAAATTGAGCCCATCAAAAATTATTTAAATTTGAACGCACCAGAAATTTTATGTACTTTTTATTTATAAGTATATTGAAAGTGATATTTAATGGCTGTTATATAAACTATTTTAATATATTTGCAATGGAAAAAATTTTGAATGAATAATTTGTAATGTTATTCATAATGTTTGTGACTTATACATAACTCCATACATATTTGCCAGAGGACGACTTAATAATTTTTTAGACTTAACGTTGATTAAAAGAGGTAGAAAATAAATAATAACATTATTACTTTAGACTTAAACGGACAAGACTGTGAAAATAACTCATTTAATATTTTTGTCTCATACATCGCACGGGTACGTACTATTAAAAATTTTAAATCATACAAAAAAAAAATAATAATAATAATAAGAACATGCAACTTCCTAGTGCATTTAAATAGCAGGACGCTGCCCAAATAAAACTTTTTGAAGGCATAATCATGCACAAGAACCGTAACATGGCACTTACATGCCAACACAAATAATTACCAAAAATTTCCATCACTTAAGGAACCTTTTGAGCTCCCAAAATTCCCGTCCCAATAAATGAATATCTAATGTTCTTACAAAATTTCGACCTGTCTACTTTGTCCCGCATCATCTTTCAACAAGAACACATCAATTCTACACAAATTCTATTTCCCATTTTAACGGATTGTTAGATGAATCTGTACTACTCAAGTCAACGAATTTATAAATCTTTCCACTTGTTCACATACTTGAGAAACGAAAGTGAAGGGTTTTCCCCTAATGGGGCACGCACACGAGTCGACCTGCGAACCAGGGCCTCTTCCATTTCCATCCTCTGTGTCGCCTCTTTTGATCTTGTCTCTAGTCCAATGCTGCCAAATTTAATCCAATGCCCAAAAAAAAACCAAAAAAAAAATAATAATAATAAATAAGAAAAGAATTAATATAATATGTGGGTTTAGTTTTCTTGAAGCACATTGAAAGATTCATCTTTAACTCAAAATGAACCTAAGACTCGGCGAATTCCTCTAACACATTAGTTAATTAGCCAGCTAGTGAAGTTTTGGATATAAGATAATCGGCTAACCTACCACACCTTTCACATGTAAGTTGAGAAGATAACCTCAAAATATGTGATCCCGATAAATCATACCACATTAAATGAGATAAATTTAAATAACCCACCAAATTTTGTCGTAAAATTTCTCCAGCTGCTTTTTGAGAGATTTCTCTCTCACCCCTTTTTGATTCATTGAACTAATCAAAGCGTCAAGCTGTCATAAGAAAGGGAGATTAGAAACCAAGTAAAAAAAGATACAAAAAGATAAAAGTCAAAAAAAGTTCGTATACAGAGCTACGGCATTATACCTCTTCCTTGGTTTGATAATAGCCCCACTGTGTGGAATCAGAATTCTCAACAAATACTCTTCCATCACGTCGAAAAAACCAATACCTGCAGTAATCTCTATCTTTTCCTAATGGACTAGTGCGTATAAATCTCTTCTCAATCTCCCGTTCAAGAAATTCTTTCTGCATGAGGAATACACAACAAATGTATTAATGAAGAAGATGACTAAACCCATTCTTTCTTTTTTTGGTCACTTTCTAATAAATATACACAAATGCATGTGTGTGTGCGCGTGCGTGCGTGCGTGCGTGTGTGTGTGTGTGAGAGAGAGAGAGAGAGAGAGAGAGAGAGAGAGAGAGAAGGCCAACCCTTTCCTCAGCGCTTTTCATCCCTATTGACTCCTTGACTTCATTTTTCATCAGTTTATGGATCTCCCTCTTGGACGGGTTATTAATATCTTCGGATAAATTGTTGGTCTCAACTTTTCGTTTTTTAGCATTCTTCTTAGAAGTGCCGTCTCCTTGATCATTCTCACTGCGAAGCAAATATACGTAGAGAGGGCGGGGAGGGATAGAAAACTAATAGGGTAAGCGATCACAGTCATTCCCAATACAACAAATTGTTTTAAATCGGGCAAAATAAAAAGTAAACATAAGAAAATCCAACCTGGATCCACCAGATGATTGACTCTGTCGAGAGCACACTTTCTTATCATCCTTCTCTCGAGCAACTCCATCACGTACATCATTACTACCCATGCCAGATTTCACTTTATGCTCATCTTTAACTTCTTTGCCATTAGCTTCTGACTTCTTGCGCTCCTTTTCCTCTCTCCTCTTTCTACCTTCGTCCAGTGCTTCATCCCTCCTTGCAGCAGAAAGTGCCATCCTTTCTTCAATAAACTCATCCAATTTGTCCCTCACAGTATCCGTCTCCAGAACTTGAGCAATCAGTTCGCGAAAAATCGTCAGTTTCACATTAATCTCCAACACCGCATAATGACCTCGCTTAATAGTACTTATATGCCTAGTTAGATCATCAGAGTAGTTCATTTCCAAGAAATCACATATGTAATCCGTCCAGGTGATCTGAGTAATCTGAAAAAAAAAAAAAAAAGGATTACATGAAAGAATACAGAACCCACCAATGTTATTTATGTGATAATGTGAGGAAAAACTCCTGTAGGAAAGATATAAAACCTTTGGCTTCCTTTTCTTCTTTTGCATTGCCGCTGCAAACTCCACATTGTCCTTTATTAGCAAGTGAAGAAGAGTTGAATACGACTCCACAATGACTAAAGGAGTGCTATCTTTATAACATAGGGCGTTCTCAAAGTCTGAGAGAGAGAAAGGGGACAAATTTAATAGCCTTCCAAATGAAGCACAAAAATCCCACACCATCACAAGATCCCCAACACAATCCAAGGGCACACTGAAGTCCCTGCAAGGGGAGGGCCTTTCCGTCAAAAGTCGATCTTCTTCAGAAGGCTGCACCAGCAGGTCGTCGATGGGATACTTAATGGAGTCATCTTGTGAACTCTCTGGAAATAACAAATCAAGAAAACAGAGTGAGAGAGAGAGAGAGAGAGAGAGAGAGAGAGAGAGACCCTTAGGAACAGAGTTAAAAGAATGGATGAAGATAGAAGCATTTAAAATACTCATGGACTCTACAGTAGTCAAGAAAATGGCAAAAAATTGAAAATAGAACAATAAGGAAGAAAAATAAGAAGAATATCCACACAATAAATGAATATGGAAAAAGGAAATAAAAGAGGACGATTAAACTTCATCCAAACCACCCATAATCACAACTGGCCTAGCATAAATTGACAGCTAAGAGAATTTAAGCAAGACGTCCAGAAATATCGACCATGCTTGACCTGTACAGTGACCCAATGAAAACCTACCTCCATTGGTACTCTTTACAGGCAATGAGGATCCAGATGCCAATTTATGTCTTCGCATGTACACCTTAATCTCCTTCTCATTTGCCTCCTAAGAATAATAAACAGACACAACATCAATACAATGAACTTCAAAAAATGAAATTGGAACGTTTCAAGCATTAAGAATCTTAATTCACCGTAGTCTGTTTAGGCTCTTCAGTTTTCTTTCTCTTTCTGTTACAAACTATAAGTCCATTCTGCAAAGAACATTGAGACTTAAGTTCTTCAGGAGGTGAAGTTGGGATTCCGTGCTTCTTTGCTAAATTATCATGTAAAACCCAAGGGAGGTTCCTGTATGTAGAATCTTTGATAAAAGCCTTGAGAACCCGTTTGCTGAAAGGAGGATTCTTTACTGACAAATCATCAGCATTTAAAAGAGTATTCCCACTCGCTTTCTGTTGATCATCCAGCCATTCAATTTCATATTGTGTCGAATCAGCATCCTTGACAATTTTTATGACTTTGCACATATGTAAACGACCATCCTTCTTTCCATACAATTCATCACCCTCAGAAAAAGGGTTTTGAAATTTTGCAGCAATTGAATCAACTAGATCTTTCAAATTAAGCATGCCTGCCATTAATGATCAAATATTTAAAAATAGACCAAATCCAAGGTCAAGTAAAAAAAAAAAAGTGAAAACCATAACCTTAATAAATGCTATCAGTGCATTCAAGCAATAAAACATTATTTATTAATAATTAAGCTGCGACATAGAAAAAATATAGAACTACCAGAGGTACACAATTTTCTTTATGCAGATAATGAGCAGCACACCAATCCTCTTAAACAAAAAAAATATGTTATACACAATATTAACTGAATATATCTAGCCTAAATATGTGGTGTGATGCAGTAACTTATGAGTGAAGCCACACTATCTGTATAACTTGTTATGTGATTGAGCTAAACTGGATTGGAGAACTTCATTTGATGAGATAAACTCCAAGCAAGTTACAGCTAACGTCCTATCTATAGAAACAATAGAAGTTCTAACAACTCACGCAAACTTCTGAAAGATATGTTTTTTTGTTTATCTCTATGACCTATGTTAAACTGAAAAGATTGACGAGAAAAGAACCAGAATAACTGATCAGACTAACCAAAACTGAGATAAAAGTGTCATTATTATTCATCTCAAAACATAAACCTAGTAGTTTGACATTTGATAGGGCTTTCAAAGCACCAACCCAACCCGTCCAAGGTGCTGAACTGCAGATGAATACAGAGTATAAATAACTTCACTTGGACATAGTTGATCGTTAGGATAAAAAGTCAAGCTGAACCATCATGCTAGAGTAAGGGACGTAGAGGAAAAGAACGGCAACATGGATGGAATTATATGTGGTTGACGACCAAGGATTCCCGGATGGGCGAACATGAAATGAAGCAAAAAAGGAAAAGAAAATATCTATTTTGAATTACCACCAGTAATGCTTTTCATTATCTACGTAGCATGTTATGGCAATTTGCATCAAACAAGGCGTTACCGCCGTTACGTATATCGTCTTTATCCGTATCTCAATCCACAGACCATCTGCCACATTATTAATAATTCTCCAACTTCAACCACTCAGATTTCAATAATCATTAATGTTTTACATTAAACCAATAAAAAGATCCACAATATCATTTATTCACGAAATCCACATTAATGATGCATATAAACTTTGCAAGTCGTATCCATGAAAAACGACAAAAATCTCCATACACGTGGTATCTACTTATATTCCTTTCTTTTTTACTCTTTATCTCGTTTCATGCACCATTTGGCAATTCCTTGTGATGATTCAAATGATAATGAAATCCACGCACTAATAAAGCTGATAAATCTTACAAGCCATAAGTTAACAAACCATCACAACAAGAAATACAATATTGACAAACGAAAATAATACACGGAAAAAAATCCAATCCACAAAAACAGGTATGTTTTTCATACTATTGAACAATTACGACATTCCATTTTTTACTTAAAATGCTTCAACCACAATATCCTATCACAACTGGAAGTCTGGCACTGCATTATTCATAAATCAGGCCAATACATTGCTATAAGAATGAACACCAAATTCACACGAGAACTGGTTAAAAGATACCAAACAGATTTATTCCAAGAAATTAGAGAGGTAGACAAAATAAAGACACCAGGCTTACTGAATTGCACATCACGAAGAATAGGAGCCATATATTGGACAGGAATACTTTGTATTCGTTTAGAAGCTCTTTCTTCCGAGATCAAGGCCTCTTCGTAGGTCAAATTTCCCTTCCCAGTAGCTTTGCATGTCCAAATGCTCTTGCGGTATAGGTTAAGTCTCTCCAAATATTCACTATGACATTTCAGATATAGGTATTAGAGATAAGTTAAAACTGAAAGGAAGTGTTGATTACCATTGGTGCTTGAATAGAACAGATTTTACTTATAACTTCTGAAGATTTCTTTTGTGAATCGAATTTGAAAGACGAGCTCTTGAGAATTTAGATCGTCTGGCCGTTCACTCATAGCATGTGGCTTCCTTTTGTAAAGAGGCATTTCTTTTTTGCTCGTTCAAATCCCTTCACATGTCAAGTTCATAACCTGAAACAAATGGCAAAAGAAAAAACATGGATAAAAAATGGTGAAGAGATTTTTTTTGAAAATTCACACTGAAAATTAGAAGCAGAAGAAGAACCCACTAAAAATTAGCCTCAATCAAATGTTAAGGACGAAGAGAGAAGAGAACCCAATTAAGAGAACTCCCGGATAACATCGAAAACAAGAACCCACTTTCGAAATAACAAAAATAACACAAAAACCGAAACGGATGAACAAAATCACAGAAAGTTCCAATTAGACGCATCGAAAGACTCTTCAATCAATCATCAAAAGAAAACACAGCAATCCTGCATGCATTACAGCTTTACCAAGTCAAACATAGCGAAATGCACCGCAAAAACCTAGTATCACCGCACGATTTCGATTCAGTTCTGAAAACAGATAATCAACCAAACAATCCAAAAGAATGTAAAATTCACACAGCAACACAAGTTCACGTGCAAGAATCATTTACTTACCGCCACGGATTGAATTGAGAAAGAGCAGGGAATGCCGATTGAGGATGGATCGAGGGGTCGATTGGGAGGGTTTTAATGGGCATGAATGAATGAATGAATGAATGTATGTATGTATGCTTTGTGCGTGCATATATTTAGAGAGGCGCTTTGTGAGCGAAGAAAGAGAGAGAGAGGCGGAGGCGGTGAAGTCTGACGTGTTGCGGTTTTTTTCTCTCTCTCATATTGGAGTGGGTTCTAAATAAGGAAGATTCTACGGTCCCGTTACGGAACCATTTCGTCGAGATTTGTAACCGTTAAATCAACTATCCACGACGGTTACATGATGATCTAACGGTTACAAATATAGATAGAATGATTCCGTAACGAGACTGTAGCATTTCCCTCTAAATAAGCCTATTTATAATTTTCTGGAGATTTTACCTTGGTCTAAGTCGAGTTTGTAATTGTTAGATCAACTGTTCATGATGGTTATATAATGATTTAACAATTACAAATATTGACGGGTAGTTCTATAACAGGACTGTAGCATTTTCCTGTAATTTTCTATTACTTTGAATTGAATGTCAATTTTCAATTTTCATTTATTTCATTCTCTTATTAAAGAACAATATCTACTATTCTTTTAAGGTTTGGATTTCCAACGTTTATAATCACATTTATGTTTTCTTACACTAGTTTAGTTCATGAATTATAGTAGCTTATTAGTCTATTTTTTTATGCACTAAATTCATTGTGAAGAGCAACTTCAAACAAAAATTTAAAAACAATTATCAAATTTATTATGTTAGACGTTAAATATGGTGTACAAGTGTCACCAATGATTGCGCCAAATTGGGCTCTAGTTTGGTGCATTGA